GGTTGTAAAGAGTGGTTATTTGAGCTACAGTAGCCGTCCTGTCAGCTTGAACCATACTCTGACCATTCTCCCGTGCCCTCTCTCATCAACAAGGCGTCGTGTTGAGGCCTTTTTTTTTTTTGTTTGTTTTTTTTCCCCGCAACATTCTGTATAATGTCATAATCCCAGGAGATCAGCAGTCTTTCACCAGGAGCCATGCCATGGTCAGAGTCACTGAGATCACTTTTTTTTTTCCTCATTCTGATGTTGATTTGAACGTTAACTGAAGACCTGTATCTGCATGATTTTATACATTGTGCTGCTACCACATGTTAGGCTAATTGCATGAATGAGCAGATGTACAGATGTTCCTATATGCCTATAAGTGTTAGTGAAATTTTTGTCTATGTCCATACAGGAGCTGCTGGAACTCTTAGGATGACATCTGTTGAAGTAAGAATCGTTTTCAGTTTCTGCTTCCCAGTACTTTCACAACGCCGTCGTTTGTCATTTAAAGAGTCCAGTTTTATTCTTGGAACAGTGAAAGATATTTTGCTCTTATAACTACAATTTCCAGGGCCAGACCTCTTTGAGTTCATCGCAGACTAATAAGAGAACCATCGGTCATCGGGGGATTGACCACACAGGGGAGACTACATACAAAAAGGCAAGAAAGCTAAGTGATCTCTTTTTTTTATTATTTTTTTTATTTTATTAAACACTAGTTAACTGTTCAGCGTAGCAGGTTCTATGTACCAGTTCAGAAGCTGCACTGTTTGTTTTCTCAACACGTGCTGGCTTTTACCAAATATGTAACACTCCCAAAAGTCATTTGAGGTTGAAGGTTAGCTTTGTTGCTGATATGGCCTTTCAGGCATATCTCCTTCAATAATAAAAGCAGAAATTAGATGTTGCGTGACAATGCAAGATTATTATGTAACAACGTGACCATTATTTGGTGCTTTGTAACCTTGCATCACACCTGTTACTGTTACTAAAGGCCATGAACCGTGTACTATATATTGTATGGGATAAAGCTTAGATCATCTTACTAGTATGCATTTCATCCATCTTATCTTGTTAGACAACTTCATCTGCCCTGAAAGGTGCGATCCAGCTGGGCATCGCACACACAGTGGGCAGCTTGAGCCAGAAGCAAGAGAGAGATGTTCTCATGCAGGACTTTGAAGAAGTGGAGAGCATTTTCTTTCCCAGGTGTGTTCTTGTATCTGAAGTGTATCTGAAGTGGTGATAAATGTGTTTAAATGTGCTGTGCAAATAATGTTATTGCAATTTGTACAGTCTTGATTACGCATTTATTCACTGAATTTCCTCTAACATTTCCTTCTCTCTCTCTCTCTCACTCTCTCTGTGTGTCTTTGTCTTTTTCTTTCACGATAAGCGAGGGCAGTAATTTAACCCCTGGACACCACCATGGCGACTTCAGGTTTAAAACCTACGCTCCAATTGCCTTCCGCTACTTCAGAGAGATGTTTGGGATTCGATCTGATGACTACCTCGTAACGTTCTCCCCCTTTTTTTTTAAAATAGTCCTTACAGTGTCTTTTGTTGACTGATGTAGAGTCATTTCTATATAAACAAAGTTAAAGTTATTTCTGAAAGTACCCCTGAAGTTTTTAAACAGATAATCATATTGAAACTGTATGTACAGTATGTGTTTTACATGGAAACCTTTAACTACAGAACCTGCATGCATGCGTCAGCGATGAACAAAATCATAACTGCTCTGTGTTTTGACATGTTTGGCTAATTGAGACTGCTGCTACTGAAATCCCTGAATATGACATGCAAGCTTGTTGACTATTATGTAGCATGGCTACAGTCAGCTCCAGAATTATTAGCACCCTTAGCAAAGTTGGGTTAAAAAAAAAGTTCTCTGTAGTTATTTAGCTTAGTTTCACACTGAAACACAAATATTTTCTTAGAATACATTTTCTTCAGTTAAATGTTAGATTTTTCTCATAATTAATTTCAGTGTGAGATTAAGCTCGTTTTAACCACAAAGCCTTTTTTTAATAACCTTTTTTACCTTTATGGATGGTAATAATTCTGGAGCTGGTGTCCTAATACTACTTACACTAAATTACAGTGCAGTTGTATAGTACAGTGACACATTTAACTAAAAGCAAACTGATTTTCTGATACCTAAACAACCCCCTGATGTTAATGAGCAGTTGTCTTTCTTGACCTGCCTTCTTGCTTGTTTTTTGTGTTATTTGTTCACAAATTTCTAACCAGTGCCACAAAAAAAAAAAACACCTCCAATGTGACTGCTCAGAACCATGTCCAAATATAAATATGATAATATTAAGTAGTGTTTATGTAAATAATATAATTAAAAGATTAAAAATACAGAACCATTAAGAATTGCTGCCACAGTTTTTTGCATCATATACTAGTGTTGTGAGGAAGCATATCTGTCTGTACAATGCAGATTCATTTATTTGTGAATGTACATGTGTGTTCTGCAGTATTCTCTATGTAACGATCCCCTGATAGAGCTGTCAAACCCTGGGGCGAGTGGGTCTCTGTTTTATGTCTCCAGTGATGATGAGTTCATCATTAAAACTGTCCAGCACAAGGAGGCAGAGTTCCTGCAAAAATTACTGCCTGGGTACTTTATGGTGAGAAAAATGTGTTTGCGTCTGACTTCTGTTTTTCTGTGAAACTATTTTTTCTTTCTTGCTGTGGTCAGTGCATAGGTTTTGTGAAATTTGGGAGAGCTGTTTTCCCACATATTATCCCCTTTTTGTCTATCAAAGGTCACTCTTGCTCTGCTTCAGTAGATGTGTTATTAAAGTTCCATGTACTCATCTTACCTGTTAAATCAACAGTAGTGCAATTAAAAAACAAACATATTTGCCATGTTTTTTCAAACTTCCCTGGAATTCTTGCAGCCAGCTAAATGTTTGCCTTTGCTAAGAAGGATACAAAAATCCTTCTACTGTACCTGAAGCTACTGTACCTTCAAGCTAATAAGAAAAATAAGAAAAACATAAGCTCTTCCAGGCTTTATTGTGAGAGCACCAGGCTACTTAGTGAGGCAGCATCCTCAATGATATTCAGTCATAGTGAGGCTATTTTGAATTTAACAATATTATGCATACTTGAAATATGGATATGCATATGATTGATTGATTGTTTGATTAGTTGGCACATTCCTATGTATTAGTTTTTGTTTTTTTTGTTTTTTTTTTTATAATTCACTAATTCACTAAAACTTTTTCTCCCAGAACCTGAACCAGAACAAGCGTACACTGCTTCCAAAATTCTATGGGCTCTACTGCATTCAGGCTGGAGGGAAGAACATCCGCCTTGTGGTAATGAACAACCTGCTGCCGCGCACTGTTCCCATGCACCTCAAATACGACCTGAAGGGCTCCACGTACAAGCGTCGTGCCTCACCTAAGGAGAGAATGAAGAGCCTTCCCACCTATAAAGACTTAGACTTCATGCAGGACATGCCCGAGGGCCTACTACTGGAGACAGATCACTACAGTGCACTCTGCAAGACCATCCAACGAGACTGCCTGGTGAGAGAAGAGAACATGTTTAAAGCCGTAGTCGTGTTTTCACCCCCCCCAAGTCACCTGCCAATTCCCACCCACCAGCCAGATTTCCACTAATCGCACTAACGCTAAGTGTTATCTGCCCTCTTCCGCATACATGAGCTCACACACGCTGAAGATAGGCTAGTATTGCTGTGATTAACAGGAGAGAGAGAGAGAGAGAGAGAGAGAGAGAGTAATGCCGTCAGTCCCACCCTGAGAGAGCGGCCACTTTTACTCCCTTGAGTCCTATCCACGGTGACTGTGGAAACGTCAAGATTCGAACTTGTGAAGATAAGGCAAACACTCTTCACTCCCCAAAGCCCTATTCTGACATGATTAGTTTTACCTAGAGTGATGGGGTAATATAATTATTGCTGGAATATCTTCGACTTTATATACAGTGGCCCCAAAAAAGTATTTGGACATGTAGCCACACTTACAAATGTATGAATTTCACTGCAATAGAAAACAACGTGTCAAACCAATTGGAATTTTTTTTTAAAAAGAGAAATACCAAAAGCACACTTTTCAGGAAGAACTTTTCCAAAAAAAATAATTGTTAAATATAAAAATAATAGATATATTGATCATAATTAGACAATAGGTATTTGGACACTTAAGATTATTCTGGTTGTCACAGTTAGTCCATAGTTAATGTGATGAACTACATCATATGGTTGCTAGGAGACCTGTATGAAACTGAAGGTAATTGACTGCATGCATCCACATATAAATTACCGTGGGACCAGCTGGTTAAAAGCAATTTCAAAAATGACTAAGAAGCGGGAAGTAAGTTTTGAGAAAACTTGTCACATCATTTGTTTGCACAATGAAGGTTACTCTATTTGCCAGATCAGCAAAAAATCTAAATCTTAGTTCCTCCCTGGTTGGATATATTGTAAAAAAAAAAAAAAAAGGTTCAAAGTTGAATGACTTGTGAATGAAAACAGACAATGTACAGGCACAATTGAGAATGAAATCAAGAAGAAGAGGTGAGAAACAGTAGCTTTGCTGCAAAAGGATTGCTGCAGACATCAATGCGAGTTACCAGATACAACGTACTGCACAAACTATTCAAAACAGGAATAAACAAGCATGCGCCGTAATAAATTGCTGTAAATTTTACAGTACTTTATTGGCAATTTGGGTAAACAACTGTAAAATATATTTACAGTAAAGTACTGTAATATCTTAATGTTGTATAAACTGACACATAACCCAGCACGCTTGCTCATTTGGCCGATGTAGGATACAACTGAGCTGAAGGTTATGGGTCTTGCCCAACCATGACAGCTTGGCAGTACTGGGATTTGAACACACAACCTTCTGAGATGTGACTCAAAGCCTTAATCACTGAGCCACCACAACTACACCATAACACCACCACAGCTAGCACTGAATTAACCCCACTAAAAGATTGCAGCAAATCAGTGCAAGCTAGTTGTGCTAGCTGTGGTAGCTCAGGTGATTACAGTTTCGAGTTGCAGACAAGAAGGTCATGTGTTCAAATCCCAGCACCACCAAACTGCCTTGATTGGATCCTTGAGCAAGACCCTTCAGCTTAGCTGTATCCTGCATCAACATACTGGGCTATGTGTTATTTTATACTATGTATGATATTACAGTACTTTACTGTAAAAATGTTTTACAGTGGTTTGCTGTAAATTTTACAGCACATTATTGGCAACCCAGGTTGCCTGTAAACTACCGTAAAATCCACAGTAAAATTTTTACAGTGTGGGTACAGAGAGAGAGTGTTGCAGTAGAAACCATTCATCAGCCTCAGGAATAAGAAAGCAAAGGTGAAATTGGCAAAAGCACACACCGAGAAAGACAGCAGCTTCTGCAGATCTGTCTTATTTTCAGATTAATCTAAATTGAACTTGGATGGATCTGAAGGTACTGTGTTTATGTGGAGAAAGCCAGGAGAAGAATTCCAAACAAACTACACTATGAGTACTGTAAAGCACGTAGGAAGCTAGGGCTGTGTTTCCTACAGTGGTGTTGGTGAGCTTGTGGTCAGTAGCATCATGACCTCAGAAGTGTACAGAGGCATTTTAGATGCAAACTTGCAGAAATCAGTGAGGAAGTTATTCAGTTGACAGAAGTGGATTTTTTCAACCGGATCCAAAGAATACCAGCTGTCTTTTGAAAGAATCCTGAACTAAACCCTATATATCAATAATCAGTTAGTAATCAATTAACTGTATAATCTAAGTAAATCAGACATTCTCCATGTTGCTTCACACATCTTGTCAACTGCTTCAGGAACTTCATTTTTGCATGCTGTGTCTACATTTTAGGTGCTGCAGAGCTTCAAGATCATGGACTACAGTCTCCTGGTGGGGATTCACAATGTGGACCGGCCTGGAGATGAGGCATCCATGCCAGTGCCTGATCAGAAGAGGAATCAGGGCCAGAAGCCCCTCTACTGCACGACCATGGAGGCGATCCAGGCCGAGGTCAAGGGCAAGGCTGCACCGCTGTGCATTGAGAGGTTAGACACAACTTTACCAGTGTGAAAAGCTTTTATTTAATATAGAAAAACGCCTGGTCTGGGAATGGACAAAATTACAAATCTTGAGATGAATTGTAAATATACACTGATCAGCCATAACATTAAAACCACTGACAGGTGAAGTGAATAACATTGATTATCTCGTTACAATGGCACCTGTCATGGGGTGGGATATATTAGGCAGCAAGTGAACAGTCAGTTCTCGAAGTTGATGTGTTGGAAGCAGGAAAAATGGGCAAGCGAAAGGATCTGAGTGACTTTGATAAGGGTCAAATTGTGATGGCTAGACGACTGGATCAGAGCATCTGCAGAACGGCAAAGGTCTTGTAGGGTGTTCTCAGTATGCAGTGGTTAGTACCTACCAAAAGTGGTACGATCCATGGAGGCGCCACCTCACAACTTACAGGACTTAAAGGATCTGCCGCTAATGTCTTGGTACCGGACACCACAGCACACCTTCAGAGGTCTTGTGGAGTCCACGCCTCGATGGGTCAGAGCTGTTCTGGCAGCACAAGGGGGACCTACACAATATTAGGCAGGTGGTTTTAATGTTATGACTGATCAGTGTATGTTAATGCTATTAAACATGCGTAGACAGTAGTTAAATGCTCACCTTGGCATTGTTAATACTTCTTGTTGCGTATAGTTTATATACAGACATTCATGTGGAGTCTTTCATGTGCAGCGTTATAGCATTGATTCGGTCATACTGATTCAGCCTTTTTAATCGTAATCTGTGATTGTGTTCTATATGTTTCTGTCACTGCAGCACGGGAGGAATGCCAGCACATAACTCAAAGGGGGAGAGGTTGCTGATCTTTATTGGGATCATTGACATCCTCCAGTCCTACAGGTAGCAGGCTTCAGTAAATGTTACGTTCTTGATGCTATTATTTAATCAAGTAGCATGTTGATTCTTTAAGACCTGTATGAATCTTGGTGTTTTGTATATGTTTAGGTTTGTGAAAAAATTGGAGCACTCGTGGAAAGCCTTGGTTCATGATGGGGTATGTGGTTTGTTTACAGCTATACAGTAGTGCTTACAGTACACATCAGTGGTGACAAGTGACCAAATTCTTCCATACACTTTAAAAAACATCTTTATGAACAATTTTTGCATGTTCAAACAACAATGGTACATACATAACTACTACATATATAACATTTTGTTTAGAGAGTTATTACGTAGCAGGTAGCGGTACTGTCAGAGATCCTTAAATAGGTTCTGAATACAATAAAATAAAACATAAAATAAAATAAAATTAGGTGTAGAGGCTTTAATTGCTACAAGAAGGATCTCATCTATTTGAGCCAGTTTTTGGCAGGACAGAGCTAATTTTTGGCAGGACATAGAAGTATTGAATATGATTGATTTCAGATAATTTTAGCACATAGTCCTCCTTAACAATGTAGAAATGTTGGACTTCTAATATTTATTGTGTTACTTAATTGTTATATCACAGCACTGTCGACTTCTCAAATCTGATTGGTCAGAAAGTGTTGATTAATTTTCTATAACAGTAGCTCTCAGAGTAATGCCGGCTACAAGTCATATCACACACGTAAGGAATAACACACGACGGACCATGCCGTTATACAAAAATAATACACACTGGGGTGGTATGCTTATACCACAGCGATCTGCCAGCAATTAATTTATTAATGAACAAGGTCATGCCAATGTCATGCTTTTTAATTGTTTAAAAAGTAGATTTAATGTTGTGGGATGTCCACGAGACAAGTTAGGTCCTGTTATCACTTGCGTTGTAGCCACAATAAACTCATTCCCATGAAGCCATTGCCACACCAGACTTTCATTTTCTCTCTTGCTCTCTCTCTCTCTCTCTCTCTCTCTCTCGTGTCATTTTACCAAAAAAAGGGAAAATGTAAACTCCTCTGCTTGAAGGCATTACAAAGCAGCATGATGGTTACAAAGTGCTGACACTCTGACTCCCTCCATAAATGATACATAAACATCTAACAAAAAACGTTTTTCAGTTATACGTTTTTCTTTATTTAACAAGTTTTTTAAGTCCATTTATTACTAGTCTTAGAATATGCATAGCATCTGCTATACAAGTCCCTGTGTATGAGCTGTTACTATAGAAACAGTAACGTATTAGAAAGAGTGCATTAATATAAATCTATCCAGCCAGAGCTTTTGTCTGTTATACAGAAATAATGCACCTTCTGACCAGTCAGATTCAAGAATTCAACCGTGCTGTGGTATAATTTTGTTTATATTAATGTGCTTGTTCTAATATATATCATAACTTTTATAGTAACAGCTAGTTCATCATTAACTTATGGTGGATGTTCGAGATAAACTGTTTAAATAAACGTTTTTATATCATAAAATGTTATTGTCCTACAGAGTACATTATACATCCATATACATCATATACATTCAGTACAGTCTACAGCAGATATTTTGTGTGAGATTACATCTTCCAGACAGCTGAGACATGCCCAACATGCACAGGCTTGCTGAGGTAGAGGTAAACCAGTAATGTCACCTGCAAACTTTAAATTCTCAATCCTTAAAGACTGCTGATTTTCCCATGGGCCCAAGCTGTCAGATTAACCAGGCACTCTTACAGCTAATATGAGGCTAAATCTTCATCCAGTACTTGGTTACTAGAGTTTGTAACACTAAGGACACAAAAAAATTAAATAGCCAAATCCTTACATGGTCTTGGTATGTGTTTTGACTTCCCGTAATCATCAGATTAAGCCGGGTGAGGCAGAGTTGCACACTATATCTCCCATTACTAAATGTTCTTCCATGAATAATAGCATAAATATGCATATATGAGAGAAACATACATACATGGAGTCATTTTCATATGAAATGCTTTCATACTTACCTGGAGCAAAAAAAAAATTATATATTTGACAGCTTTGTGCATTAATATTATTATTTTACACTTCTCTACTTCAGGATACAGTGTCAGTACACAGGCCTGGTTTCTATGCAGACCGCTTCCAGAAGTTCATGTCCAATACCGTTTTCAGGAAATCTTCATGTAAGTCCAAGTTATGTCACATCTCCAGATATCTGTTAAGGTTTTCAGTCATCCATTTTATTTTTATTGTCTAGTAGCAAGTAGTAAGGTGACTGGAGTTGTTATTTATTATGAAATGCCTTCCTAAAAGCTGATTGGCTGATGTCACAGCTTTGTCTATGACCTCAAAATCTTGTCCTGTATGTGCCTTTGAACTTTTGTGCAAATCCAAACAACCGATCATGAGTTACATCTGTTTGAGTAAATTAGGCTCAGCCTTGTTAGAATTGATTGACATGTGTCAGCCATATTGTTTACAAATGTCAAACTGTTTTTCGATAATTATTGAGGTTCACACTCTGCTGAATAGATTGACACTAAATGTGTGAAGATCCACCAAAACTCCTAGAACTAGTTTGCAAAAGTAGGTTTAGCATATTATGGAAAGTAGTAAAAAAAATAAAAAAAAACCCATCATGGTTGAAATTAGTGGGCGGGGCCTAGATCAATTTGGCTTAAGCCAAGGGAGAAAGATTTTAGATTGTAGGATGCACAGTTCTCGAGATATGGGCCAAAACGTAAACGCTTGCACTATAGCGCCACCATTAGGCCGATTGGGCCTGTCTCACTTGCCTGAGTAGCAGGAAGGGGTACGACCTACTGACTGTATTTCTTGTCTCTGTGACTTACGGTTTGGTCTACTTGATTTGTTTCGGCAGAGAATCCGAATAAGAAAAACAATAGTGTACCGTCTCTACGTGCGTGGACCCTTAAAAAGAGGAAATTCTTGTTTCTTTCTCCTCCCTAGCAAAAACATTGCCTCCTAAGAAGATGCGAGGAGTCATTGCAGGGCAACGCAAGGCAAGCACTGCAGCGGCTGGACAAACCCAGCAGGGTCAGTCGTCGGTTATGGTAGCGCCGACAAATGCAGAACAAACTCAGCCAGACGAGGAGTCGACTCAGATACACAGCGACAGTGCTGTGTCTCCCACCTCAGAGA